AAACAAACAAAATAATATAAATATATTCTAAACAACTACTACTAGCAAAATTCATAAGCAATTACAACCGTGATATCAACATTAACACAAATCAAGTCAAATCAAGTTCTATTTCATTTATATATCTATACTCTTAATACTCTCAACACTCTCAATATACTCATACAACTCAGTACAGTACAGCACAATATAGCACTTGCCGAATAATTTTAATTTTTTAAAAGCAGTCCCTATATCACAACTCACAATTCACAATTCACAACTCACAACTCACAATACTCAAAAGCCACTAAACAATAGTCACCCATATCCTCCTTCCCTTCCCTTCCCATCCCTTCCTCCTCACCCCATCTGATCCAGATTCCCATCTCGCAATTCCTAGCACCCAATTCCGCATCTTAAGATACAAGATCCACAATGCATATCCAAATCCGCATATCCAGAATGCAATATCCAAGATGCAATATCCAAGATACAAAACTCAACAAAGAAATCTTATCTACATTCTTGATCCACCTACCCCCCTATCCCCAACCGCCTATCCTATCCTGTACTAACAAGAGAACCGAAAGAACCAAGAGAATCAAGAGAACCAAGCCAAGCACTAGCTTACTCTTCTCTCCTCTCTCCTCTCTCCTCATCTCCTTCTCTCCTTTCCTTTCATTTCCTCTCCTCTCCTATCCTTCTCTCCTCTCATTTCCTCTCTCTCATTTCCTCTCCTCCTCTCCTTCTCTCCTTTCCTTTCATTTCCTCTCCTTCTCTCCTATCCTTCTCTCCTTCTCTCATTTCCTCTCTCTCATTTCCTCTCTCTCATTTCCTCTCCTCCTCTCCTCTCCTCCTTTCTTTCTCTCCTCCTCTCTTCTCCTTTCCTCTTCTCTTCTTCTTTCCTTCTCTCTCCTCTCATCTCTTCTCATTCCTCTCCTTTCATATTCTCCCTTCTTCTCTATAAATCATAGACATCTTATACATACATCAATTTGATATAGGTATTCGAGTACTAGTCATAACCACCTCACGGTTCAATTCAATTCGCTTCAATTCGCCACAGATAGACGCTCGGACCACATTATAATCATAAACAAACAAGCAAACAAACCAAGCTCTCTTTGAGTAAGTAATCTATACTTAAACTAGAATAATATCGACTTTCGATATAATATAAAACTCACTCCATATTCTCCAACCTTTTCTCTTTCCTTTTCTCCTTCCCTTTTTATATTCTCCTATTTTCTCCATCCTTTTCTTTATTCTCCCATCCTTTTCTCCATATTCTCCATTTTCTCCTTCCCTCCTTCCCTCTCTATATATCCCATATCCAACATCCCATATCCAATATACCATATCTAGATAACATCCATACATCCATCCATCATGATATAGCAACAACAAACTCACAAATAAACTCAATACTCATATAAACAAGCAAGATTTTCTCATGTAGACATTCATATCATTCAAATCATTCATATTATTCATATTATTCATACCATTCATATCGCTAAGTAGCAGCTAATGAATAGTAGATAGTAGATAATGGATAAATAATAGTATGGTATGTATCTAGCTTTTCAAGGAGGGGTAAATAACTATTCTCATTCCTCTTGTCTGACTTTTTCCGCCTGAAGCCTGACACCTGATGCCGTGCGCTTTGAGCATTATGCTCATATCTCATTTCTCTACCTCGTGATCTTATCATCTCATATCACACATCCGGATTTCGGTAAGGTCCAAGCTAAGAATATAATGAATTACTTCCCCATCCCTATTCCCGTCACCATCCCCACCGTTGGCGTCGGCGTTGGCGTCGATATCGTCTGAGCAACCTTTCCAACACCCAAACCTAACCCCAACCCCAAACCCGGCGTCACCGGAACATCCCTCTCACCGCCCTTCAAAAAGCGTCCTGGCACCCCTCTCGCTGCCACCGCCGAATTTCCCACATATGCACCTATCAATTTACTCCATCTATACTCACCCTTCCTCAATTTCTGAATTTCTTTATATGCATACGAATTTACATATGGGAGACCTGTTTTTGGGTCGCGAAATTTGGCGGGGTAGTGTGTTATTGCACAGAGGGAGTGGGATTTGGAGGAGGAGGTTTTGGTTTTGGCTAGGGAAGGAGGGAGTTAGTGTTGTATAAGGTAGAAGAAGAGAGGGAAAATTGGAAGTGGAAAGGAGAAGGAGGTGGGGGAGAGCATTGTAATAGGGACTTACTTGGAGCTTTAGGAAACGTTTGATTAAAAAGAATCCTAGTCTGTACATCTTTATTTTTGATTTCATCTTCATCAAAATTCGCCAAGATGATACAATTCCTCAGTGCGTATTCGGTAACGGGTGGTTGCGGAGGTACAGGTAAAGGAGGGGAAAATATATAAGGAGAGTGATGTTGAGAGGGAGTGAAAGAGAAAGGAGTGGTTTGGGAGGGCATTAAACGAGGATAATTTGTATTCGGGGGCTGGAAACCGGGAAGGGGCTTAGAGCCATCGAGAGATGGGGGTTGGAGGAAGAAAGGAGGGACGGCGGTGGGTGCTTGGGGAGGTATGAATGGAACGGCGTGATTATGGAATTGGGGAAGTTGAAGAGGTCCGTTGATATGAGGGACGGCACCAGTGGTTTGTTGAGGTGGTTGGAGTCCACTTATACTTGGAACAGCTCCGGATGTTTGGTTGGGTGGTTGAAGGATACTGGTAGGTGGTGGCATGGTTGGTGGGTTTGGTGATTCAAGAACACTATTAGGTTGTAATTCTGGATGAGGAGGATGTAGAGTGCTGCTAGAAGTAACCGATATCGAATCCTGCGTCAATGATCCAACTTTATTCGCATCGCCATTAGTCATTCCCGAGGAATTTCCAGGTGTTGAGTCCTTGTTACTACCATTGAGGGCATCGGTCATAGCCGAAGCTGGTGCAAATATTCCCTGTGGAGTAGGAGATTCTGTAGGTCCAGCCTCATTCTCGTCCTCCATTTCTCCAGCTTTTCTCTTCTTTGATTTTTCCTTGGCTTCATCCGACTTTATTTTCATTGATCCAACAGCAATTAACTTTCCACCAACCCATGTCGCAACTCCACTCCATGTGGTAATAACAGGCCCTTCTAATTTTCGATTATGCAACGCTGCCAGTTTTAACCTCTGTTCTTCTTCCCTTTGTTGTTCTGCCTCTTCCCATCTACTTAAACTCTTGGAATTACTCTTCTCCACCCTTGCAGCTTCTGCCAATCTATCTGCCTGTGTCATGGCTGGTTTCCGAGCGGCTTCCTTTGCTGCAGCTGCTTTCTCCATATTCGCCAATTGTTTTAACCTCTTCTTCTCCCTGTCTATCATCTGCGCATGTAGTTGCTCTTTACTTTTCTTCGTAGTACCACGAGCCGATGCTCGAGTCGGGGCATCTTCTGGAGTTGGAATCCATGAAGCGCGTTCAGACTTCTTCTTTGGTCGCGGAGCAGGTTGTGAAAGTATTGTAGGATCGATCTTGACTCTCTTTTTGAATATCTTTGGCATGCCATCATTATTTTTCCGTTTCTTTGCCAATCGCTCTACCTTTTCCTTCCGCTGTAACTCTTTCTCCCCATCGAGATCGTCTGCGCCGGCTGCAGGTCCTTGGTCGTCATCATCATCAGAAGAATCCATTTGTACATCAGAGTCGGCCTCCAAATCCACAAATCCATGATCTTCTTCATTTTCATCTTCAGCGAATAGAAGCTCTAGTTCATCATCTGGTTCTTCTTGTTGTAGCAAAGCATTCAAACGATTTCCTGCAGTCGAACGTTTTTGTCGCGATGTGACCATCCATTCAACTTCTTCTTCCCCGCCATTTCCCTCACTGTCGCTACCACTGTCGTCATCGGAGGAATCCTCCTCAGTTCGCATTGGGGTATCCTTTTCAATATCGTCGGTCATTGTTGTTGTTGTTTTGTTTTGAATGCGCCGTCGCAAATATGATTCACTATCGGACCCTGAAGAAAACGATAGAATGTAGTTGCAATTATGGTTGTTAAAGATATTGGAGAAATCTCACCATCAGTCAAATCAACAAGAGCAACCAAGTAGTCTCGCACCGGCCCAATTGAGCGGCTGGTTATCGATTAAAAAGCGGAAACTAATAAAGCGGCGGAAACTAGCCGCAAAGTGCGCACATGGCAGGCACCAGAAAGCTCGTTAGGGCTACATCACATACAGTACTTACTAGGTAAACTTTGAGGACACTTCTCCCCAAGGCTCAAACCATTTGTTTATTTATAAATAGAAACTCTTAGACGAGTCGGAAGTTTGATAAAACTCGCTCGATATCTCTGAATATATTAGTATCATTCATGCAAAGACTTTTATTCTAGAAGAACCATAACATATCTCAAACCTTAGCTTTTCAGGAATACAACGTTTTCTACAACGATTATTCTCATGTTTTTGATACAATACTGGTACCGGTACTCGGATACATCCTTATATTCTCTAGAAGCATTTTGAAGATCATACTAACAAATTAAACACAAACTCGCATCAAGCATTAAGCATTAAGCATCAATCACGGTTCTGAGTCCACCTCATCTACCCATCTGAGCAAACCAATCTAAAGATGGGTATGGTTGGAGTATATGCTGGTAGGTAAGGCAAGGTAATAAGGTAAAGTAAGGTAAGGTAAGCTAACGTTTCAGAATGAATCAAAAATATATCATCAAGATGAACATTACCAGCCACAATTATGGAAAACACCAATCACAGATGACGTTTGACGTACCGGTATATATTTGAATGAACTTGGGAACGGACATGAAGATCAAGTTCTATCGAAGAAAGGAATCCACGCAATTCTTCTTGTCAAGCTCAATTGCCAATTTTTAAGGGGCAAGAGTACGGCATATTCGGAACGGGTAGGTAAGGAAGGTTGAAGTTGCGAATAGCTTGCGAATAACCTAGGGTAGGTAGGTAGGTACAGTACCAGTGATAAGTAACCAAACTGGACGTGAGTAGCTTGAGAGTGTGCGCGTACCACCCTCATATAAAACAAGCCAAAGATCAATGCATTATCTTCCAAAGTTCAGCGCAGTTCAGAATCACCGAAGAACAATATGATAATACGTGGGACGGATTGGTGATTATCTTCTACTCGTAGATATACTAGATGCGTTTGAATAGGAGAGGTTACAGTAGTACATGCAGTCATTGGATGGAAGCCATTTTGGTGTGAATGAATGCAGGATGAACTGTGATATACCTACCGGTACGTTAATCCCCATTCCTAAAGGGCTGACTGGATAAGATAGGATAAGGAAATAGTCCTAATCGTCCCAAATCTTTGTAAGAAGAAGCCTATTCAGAATCAGAAGGGACGGATATCTAACGAATGAGTGTTTTGATATTCGGGGAATATATATGTCCTGTCCTGTACCTGATATGCGGTGAGAGTTTATTTTGAGAAACTCATGCAGTAAGTAAGGTTTTGAGACGTTTGCTGCAAAGTGTATATATATATATATGTGTGTGGAGGTGAACCCCTCAAATTGTTGGAATTTGAATACCTAGGTACTCATATATAAACTCATATACCTTTTCTTACCTTGTCTCATCACTTCTCTTCCTACTTTTCTCTTACTATGAATCATTCAACCATCTCATTTTTGTACCCAATTCCGGTTTAAGCCCTTCGTTTTGGTGCATTATTACATACACCCAACCCAAAGAGTTTCAGCACATCCGCACTAAAAATCCATAAGCGAATGAATTACCTTCCTCGAGAAACACTCGGTCCCCATCCCAACAATCCATGATATCTTCTTCTTTCGTCCTCCTCTACTCCTCCATCCACATCAACTCAATCTTCATTTTAAGCACCTCATTTTCTCACTCCTTCTATGCTGCATCATTTCGTCTCTAGTTCAGTTTTATCATCTCTTCTTTTGTATTAATGAAGGTTTGTATATTGAAACGGATCTCTTAAATCAACACTCGACAATCAACAATAGAGCCCTCCTTTCACAAAACCCTTTTTTCCCCCAGTTTAATTCAAGCACAATCAGTCTTAGCATCCTTCATTGTCAAAAGACTTTGTGCTTCACAGGACGACCGAGCCCTCATCGGATCATCAATCCTTCGTTCAATTCGATCGACGCATTCAATTTTTAAGTTCTTTCTCATTGAAGAGTTCGCCTTTTTAATAGATCTCATCTTTTCTACTCCCAAAGAAATTTTGACAACTCGTCACCCTGCGAACACAATCTTTACGAACTATCAAATTCATTTAGTCGATCACACTAGTGAGTGACGTTCGAAACTTCTCCGACAATCCCATCTTAGCAAAACCTGTTATCTAGTTTGGCGCGAATACTAGTGCCAACCTTGACATCAGAACAGACATCTAAAGGAGGAGAAGTACACTGGGAACCATATCAAATCCACCATCTGTCGTATCGGAATCGAGAGGTTTTGCAGACGGGATAATCTATAATGTCAAATAACAGATCTGAACATCCCAATCTTGGCCATTTACCCCAACCAGCCGTCAAATTTCCCCGTTCGGGTTCTCCAACTGCCAATACATCCCCCACAGAAGCTACAATTGGAGCCACTCCCTTGAGATCACCATTTGGTCTTCCGTCGTTAAACTTAGCAGGCAAAATGGCCAGTAACACGCGGTCCGGAGCTGGCTCTCCATCGCATGAGCTCGGCAGCAGCGGGGCAAGTGCCAGCAGATTGTATTCAAAGAGGTACGATCACTTGACCCGGCTTTATCATGAAGCAATGACTGATGACCCCATTCTTTACAGAGCACGAGAGATTCAAGCATCAGAAGGCCTGCTTACTGCCCAACTATGGGGACCTCCAACAAGTGGCAATTCTACCCCTCTTCGGGAAAACATACCAGAGTCTCCCACAGATGGCTTTCCAGATCATACTCAGATGCCATCGTCAGAAACCACGCCAGCACGACGAGCTCGTGCTGGCACAGTTCCATCTCGATTTTCGCCTGGAGGAGCCCTGAACCCAGTTCCGAATTTAACTGGGTTAGGAGCGAAAACATCAAGACCTACACCATCTCAGAGTCCATTCCAAATTCCCTCACCGCATCATGAAATAAGCGATCTATCCAGTAGCACGGGATTGTTATCTCGATTACGTTCGGGTTCGACACCTCAAAGGCCTCAATATAGTAGTGGGCCATTTGGTCCATCGGTCTTCTCTTCAGGCTGGGGCTTGACCTCGGGTCGTGATCGAACCTCGACTTTGCATAGTATTGCTAGCCAGTCCTCTAACGGCCCTAATTCACCCGCACAATCTTCGTTTTCAAGGGAAGGAACCAACGATAACGAAATCAGGACTCTTGATTATCTAGGCCTTGCGGAAACGCCACAACCTCCTCGAGCGCACTTGGTCAATCCAATGTTGGCCAATGTCCTTGACATGGGCAAGCATTCGAATCGTTTCCGCTCTTACTCTGTCAATGCAAAGGAGAAGTATGCCGAAGATGAGGAGGCCGATGAATTTGATTCTGGTAGCATGACACCATATGAGCACCAACAAGTCCAGTTACAGCTTCAAATGGAAGCAACTAATGCTGCGATTCAACAGCATAACCTTGCAGTTCAACAATATGTTAGTCAAGCATCTGCAAACAGACCAAGAGCCAGAACTGCCGGCGTTCTCGACTCACCAAACACGTCACGATTACTTCGCGACTATTATCCTTCGTCTCGTCTTGGTAATGCAATTACTGCTGCGGAATTGAGAGAAGCGGAAGAATTCGCAGGCCTTCCGGAAGCCGTCGCCGCTATGAGTCTAGGACGTTCAAACAGCGGAAATGAACATCTCGCTCCCAACGACAATCTAGAAGGACCCACTAGTGCTCTTTGGCTTGGAAGCATTCCCTCCTCGACAACTACCTCTACCCTAACAGAAATGTTTAAATCCCATGGTCCAGTTCAGTCCGCGAGAGTTCTCACGCACAAGAATTGTGGATTTGTCAATTTTGAACGTGTTGAAAGTGCCATTTCAGCAAAGGCCATGATGCACGGAAAAGAAATCTTCCCAGGAGCAGGACCAGTCAGGATCAACTTTGCCAAACCTGTATCTCCAGCAACGACCCCGGGTCCCGACGGAGCATTTCCTTCACCAAGCCCAGACCCGTTCTCCAAAGGTTTGGACTCGGGTGCAAACACGACCGACGCCAATGGTGTCCTTGGAGCCATTTCAAGACCTGGAACTACGGAACCTCCATCGCCAAGGCTCAGAGATATCAAGAATGATATACTGAATATTGTTTTTGAGTTTGGAGCCACTGCGGATGATCAGGTTAAGATCGGTCAAAGTCTACAATCATCTATCTCATATGACAAATGGCAGTCCGAGATTCCAGCAATTCCAGAACCAAGTCACGGTAGAGTTCACGACGCTCCTAAGCTTAGAGATATTAGAAAGCGCATCGACAACCAAAGTTGGTCTCCAGCTGAGATTGAAGCTATTGCTATGGAGATGCTCGAGGAAGTCGCCGAGCTGTCATCTGACTACCTCGGGAACACGGTTGTCCAGAAATTATTCGAACATTGCTCTGATGACACGAGAAACCTTATGCTTGAGCGAATTGCTCCTCATATGGCAGAGGTTGGTGTGCACAAGAACGGTACTTGGGCTGCACAGAAGATCATCGACGTATGCAAAACGCCGAAGCAGATGACTATGATAGTTCAGAATCTCGCGCCATATACCGTGCCGTTGTTCCTTGACCAGTACGGAAACTACGTTTTGCAATGCTGCTTGAAGTTTGGTTCACCTTACAATAATTTCATATTTGAGGCTATGCTTAGCAAGATGAAGCCTATCTCCGAAGGACGATATGGTGCCAGGGCTATGCGAGCTTGTCTTGAAAGTCATCATTCTACCAAGGAGCAACAACGAATGCTTGCCGCCGCCATTGCGTTACACAGTGTTCAATTGGCTACCAATGCCAACGGTGCTCTGCTCTTGACTTGGTTTTTGGATACTTGCACATTTCCACAACGTCGATCTGTCCTTGCACCTCAACTTGTACCGAACCTGGTCCACCTTTGTAAGCACAAAGTAGCGTATCTCACGGTACTGAAGGTTATCAACCAAAAACTAGAGGCTGATGCTCGCGACCAAATCTTCCAAGCACTGTTTTTTTCACAAGATGATGGAACTCTCGAGGCCATTTTATCTGATCAAGCTTGTGGTGCTACCTTGATCTTCAAAGTCCTTACCACTCCATTTTTTGATGAGTCCATTCGAAGCAAGGTGGTTGAGAACGTTCGAAATGTTCTGATTCGTCTCAAGGCGCAACCAGCACAGGGCTATAAGCGTTTGATGGACGAAGTCGGATTGTCAACACGTAATGGTAGCGCTGGGCCAAGCAGAGAGCATAGTCAACATCAGCTGGCTGATCGTCCTCGACCTGGATCACAACAAAGTCAAGCCAATGGACAACACAATCCACAATCACAATCACAATATGGGGCCATTCAATACTACCCCCAACAAACTGCATATGATATGGGTATGGGTATGCAACGAACCGATAGCATGGATTCCAATGTCACTCCTTATCAACAATACGCACTTCCAAGTTCGATGTTCCCACAGTCTACACCCATGATGCAACAATTGCAATACCAAAACATGGCACGAGCTGCTCCATTGAATAACTTTTATCCTGCCATGCAATCAGGGTTTGGAGGTTCTGGTAGCGCGCAAATGACGGATCAATATCGAGGAATGCAAAATGCTAGCCCCATCCAACCACCATCTCAGCAAATGAGTCCTAGCCCAATGCTAGGACAAAGCTCATATGGACCTCCTGGATTCAACAATATGGGGATAAGTATGGGGTATAATTATGGTGGTTTGCCTGTTAATGGCATGCAAAACATGCAAAACATGCCATATATGCAACAAGAACAGGTCAATAGTCGACGTGGTAGAGTAAGATAAAACTCCTCTCCGGTGAGATGATATAATGCTAATCTTAGTAGCAGAGATAAATGCACATATTAAACAATCTATCGACTTCGCCGCTGATTTCGCAGTGGGATCAATTTTGGTTGCCTTCTTTTATTCCTTTCAAAAGTCTTTAGGTGTCTGGTGCAATGGAGTTCTCATTTTACATTTTCTCTACTCACGGGCATCATCAGATTTGGTCAAGACCCATGATTTTGCCCAGAACCAATTTTATGTTCATGTATACAACAAACAACATGCCGTTCGTTTTCATTAAAAATATGGGAGTGAAGCTTTTTCAGACTTTTTTTTTTTTTTTTTTGAATGAATGAGTCATGAGTAAATGGGAGGGAAGGAAGGCCTTCTGGGCGATCTGACGGATGGATGGTCTGAAGAATAGTTGAAGGGGGGGATACCTTGGACTGGAATATCCATTGTATTGAGAAGTGTGTAGGAGGGTTGAAGATCAGTTCTTCGAAGCGAAAAGTATCAACTCACGGAAAATAAATATGGGAACTTGATCAAGGGTTTTCTCATCGTTGAATCGGAGTCAACCCAGTATCTATCTAGCGAAAGGGAATCTTGATAGACAGGACCGAGCCGAGAGCTTTCTAGCTCGCGAGCTCTGAACGAAATACAAAGATGAACCTATGATTTGGGATGGTGGGATGGCGTATTCGCAGGTTGGGAAAGTTTCTTAAGAAATTAAAAATAAATATAAAGATAAATGTATATTGTATATTGTATTATAAGGATTCATTCTATTCGAGTGGCATGCCCTTTTGCAAGACTGTTCATTACCGATACTCGTTCATGTAAAGAAAAGACTGTTATTATGTTGTAGCTGGTGAACATGTTCGAGCAGAAAGACAATATCGAACGAAAATATAGGACATTCATATAGGGTTCAGACTACTAAAAAGAAGATCGGAAAAAGCAATTGAATATGAGACTTTTCTTTTATAGAGAATAGAAACTACAAGACATCTTTTTTGGAACTAGATGTGGTATTTAATATTTGAGAATATTCTGAGAGGATATTTAGGCCTTGTTTGGCTCGGGAGTGTGAGTTTTCGCATTTATCAAAAATGGAGTGTGTATATAGATTCCCACTTCTAAAAATACCACTTTTTTAAAATACAAGCCTTTATTTGACTCGCATAACATTTTATATATATATATTATACAATAATCTGTAGATCCTTCCTGATTAAACTATAAATCTATATTATAATATTAATAACTATCTTGTAATTATATTACTCAAATCCGCTATCAAAACAATATCTATCTTTATTAAAACTTTTTATATCTCTAATACGAAATAAACTCCTAAGAAGATCATTTCCTTTATAGCTTAATTCAAAGCTATTAAATTGGATAACAATATCTCTGATAATAGTTTTAAAGCTTTTATTTGGATTGCTATCGCTTAATTCTTCGAAGATCCTAATAAAAAAACACAATAAAGTTGCCAAATCCAAATAGAGATATATGAAAATGGATTTTAAAGAAATCAAATAATTTATAAAGAAAACATCTGGTTTTGATTAAAATAAAGAAAACTATATAATTCCTACTAAACTAGTTGTTTAGACTGAAATCGGAGAGGTCTGTTTCTTTGATTATTATATAATAATATTATAGCTAATTTTGATATTAGAAGCATCCAAATAAACTCCAATGGTATATAATCTCTTACGATCTACGTAGTCGTCGTCTCTCAAGGCACAC